AGATCAGCAAGCTGGACAAATGCAAACTTCCCTGCTCAGACAATGAAGATTAAGGGGGAAATTCAATAAAACAGCAGTCAAATATTTGACTATTTTTGAAGCAAAGAAAAATCAGTCTGACCTATGTGTCCTTTATTCTGATCATCTAAGACGCTCCAGAGCAATTCCTGGTGAGCAATACTGATATTCGGCTTGACGAGTTTAACCAGATGGTTCCATTTGGCCTGGGTCACCACAGGCTCTCCACCTTCACCCCAGGTCTCCTGAAGCAAAGAAAACACCCGGCACATCTTAAATCTTCTGGCCTTCACCAGCTGCCGCACTTCCTCCTAGAAAACAGGAAAGAAATCAAGAAGAACTTCTAGAACTAGCTATAAAAGAAATCAACTAGAACTAGCTATAAAAGAATGAGCTAGATTATTAGATTGATCAATAGTATTAAATGCAAACATTAATAGATCAATAAACTTGTTTCAATGTTATTTAATATTAATTAGTTTTAATATTTAAAAATATACATATAAATTCAAGATTAATTTATTTTAAAATAATTTATTTAAAATGTGACCAAAATAAATGTGACTGAGAAAGTTGCATGCTGACTTGACAAAGATGTGAATACCTTAAGGTACTTTTTGTAGTTGTTGTAAACGACAGCAAGAAAGAAGGACATGAAGGTATATGTGTTGATAACAATGTATAGAATGAAGAAAATAGTGAAGAAAACACTGTAGTTGTATGCCGGCATCCTACAATGAAAATATAAAAATAATATCACAGAAGCATTTGCATAGCATGCTTAAAGCACACTGTGGGTTACTGAAAGTCTTTTATACTGTTGAATATACATACTAATAAAAAATTCACCAAAGAGAATAAAGCCTAAAAGGAGAGAGAGAAACTTGCAATAGTTCAAGACTTACATGACATCAGGGCTATTAGCAGTGGTCACTAAAACATAAAGATCGAAAACAATATCCAAATAGTCAGTGAAATATGGAGAACCATCAATGGTAAGAAGGCCCCTAAGATAAAAGAAAAAGATAATAATACACTTTTTTTCAATAGACACAAATGAGATGACTGGAAAAGTCCAGAGGTATAAATGGTTGATACTGTATCTCGGATTACCTTTTCCCAAACAATTTAAGAGCCATGAGAGAAAAGACCAACACGCTGAACATGAATAAGAGAAAAACATAGGAGATCTGAGGCAGTGCATTCCGAATACTCCTGAACGCCCTCCGCAGCTACAGACACAAAAGGGAGGGGAAAAGAATGGGTCTGGAGGACATTTGTGGAGGACATATAGACATACACTACCAAGTTTGGAATGGGTAAGATTTTATAAATGTCCCGAAACACTTGAACAACAGTGTATGTTTTCTCCAACTTTAAGCTTTATTTCATGGCAAAATTATCTGAATGGACATTTTCAAACTATAAAAAAAGAATGAATCAGTGAATTGGTAAGCTAATTAAACAATGCAGGAACTACTATACATTTATTTATTTGATTTTGTGCTTTGAGGTTTTCTTACTTGTCTTCCCTCTGTAACATTGACTAACAGAAGAGGTCTTAAGACCCTCGACCATCGGATGGCAAAGTAGCCTGTTGCTTTCAGAGCCCCGTATATAGTCAAATCTATGAAAGAGAGCTGTGAGATGGGAAGAGTAAAGACAGATCATGAAACAAAAAATACAGTGATATTCAAAATCTCCCAAAATTTATAGGAATGCAAGCAAGTTTCACGACACACGTAAACCCTCTTCCTGGCTTCACTAAATGTCTACTCATAGTCAGTGAATGCCACATTTCCTGGTGATCCTGCAGAACTGCTGAGAATGACAAACCCCGTGCTAAAGTTCATTTCATAACATTGTTACGACTACAGTACATTCTCAGCATTTTCTTATGTTTGTACAGACAGAACACTTTAGGTGAATTCACTGGTATTATATTATATCAATAATATATTATGATATGAACCAGATAAAACTGACTATGTATCTGTAAATAAAATGAAAATTGATCTATTTCTTATTTACAGTCCAAAAATATTCTTTTTAGATTAGAGGCCTACCGTTACAATGACTATGATGCAGATATTTTTAGGATCCTTCCAGAATTTATCCCTTGGAATGACTTTGGCATAGTGTACCATCCGCACAGTGAACGCAGAGAGACATATGATCTCAATTGTAGAAGTCACCTAGAGACCACACATGCACACACACACACACACACACACAACAATGTCACAGAATTTTACTAATAACCATCTAATAAGATTTTAATCTAAGGTTACTTTATCAGAGTCTAACTGCCAAATGGTTTGGCTGTGAGTGTCTGGGCTAACCACAATTAGCTGGGCAACAAATAAATAAATGTGGATAGTGACAGAAAACACCATCTAAAGCTCCTGACATTCTTCCATAGAAAGTGACTATTTTTCAATGAACATGAATCTCCATGAAATATCCCATTGTGTCATATGGGGGTTTGGCATGGAATACAGGATGTCATAAAGGCAGTAAACTGTTTTATGTTGCTAGTCAAATACTTTTCCAGTTCACATAGGTACTCTACTATGACAACAGACCCTAAATTTTCATTTCAGTACATAGAGGTTCATGCATAACATGTTTTATAGTTAAACATAGATAGAAACAATGAACATCCAAGAAATATTCAACTACCCATTCACATAACTACACAAAGGTCTGCAACGAATTGCACATTGGATAAATGATTAAACCACTGCTTCGCTGAACAAATTTCAAATGTAAGTTTAAAATGTTTTTCACTCATACCCATATAGGAATTGGCACAACAGCAGGATCCTCAAAGAGAGCCAGAGCAAGATTTATAATGATGAACACATATACCAGCGTCTGCATGAACAAGTGATTGTACAACAGGTACAGCCTGTGGAATATTTTACAGATTTTATAATACACAATCTAGTAATAGTCAGTTATATAAATGATTGCTGGAAAGTCATCTCTTACCTCACAGCCTGTGGCGAAGTATCAAAAAAGATGTTCCTGTTATACTGGGCATCTGACACATATACTGTGGCAAGGTCGAATTTCTAAAACCACATCAGTAAACATCAGCGGCCAAGAAGAGAGAATAAAAACAGGCCATTATAGTCCATTGCATATTTTATTTATCCACTTTTAAAAATATTTTCTAGTTAATTTTAAATGATTCTGTGGAGTGACAAATGGATTTATATAAGTGCAAATATTCCATGTAATCTCTCAATTAATATGATGTCATAAAATCTGCGTAAATACCAATTAATAAATTAAATAATTAGCAAAAGGCTGTGTATAACTGGATTAAATGGAGTGGCATACCATTCGACACATCAATTCTACCAAAACTATTACGTGCTATAACCTCCCTTTCAAACTACAGCCATCACTCAAAAATGGGACTAATATGTGCACGTTTATGCGAACAGTTAACAGTGTGGTCCATGCATAATTATATTTGTATGGCAACAGACAAACATAACAATGCATTTCTCTACAAATGATAAACAATTAACAAGTAAAGAACTTCTGAAATGTTTGCAAAAGGCAACAACAAAAAAAAAAACTTTTCAGTGCTTCTCTTTTTTTTCTTGACAAGCAAGACACCAGATGTTTCTCTGATTGCATATAATGATCCAGATTTAATAGGACCTCCATGTTGCGGTAAGTTCTAGACTTTCCATCCCAATTAATAAACCAACCAATCCAAACTTAATATCAGAGTACCATCTATGAACCTGAACGTATTTTTAAACCCATCTTTTTAGATGTTTACATTTTGCGGCACATTGATAAGTACAGGTTTCCAAGAACACTATATCCACGCAACATACCTCTGTCATCTCATCTGAAACGTTACTGGAAACATTGTTTCCTCCATTGGTTAAACCTTCATCCTTTGGTAAAGTATGGCCATTTGGTTTTTCGGTCTCTGACATTTTTCTCTGTCCCTCAACGTTTCCCTGTCCTTATGCACCTGATACAGATCCAGTTCGCAGGAAATCCAGTCTTGAAAAAGTTCATCTTGCAAACGAAGCGAATTTACTAATCCTAGTATGGTGAAGGTCTTGCTATTACAAATTCATGATCCACGCCTTCGTATTTGGAAAATGACCGAGCAACGTCAGCATGGCCAAATTAATATTTAATAGAAAAGCCATCTCACCAATCAAATTGAGAATGGTCTCATTAATATTAAGAAGCACAGCCTTCCATTGATTAGATGCCTTGCTTAGATTGGGTGAACGTCATCTCTAATTAATATTCATAAGGTCAGGCCTCGCCATAGTAGGATTTTTTTGGTTTTATCCCTCGCATTCCAAACGGCGGAAAAGTGTCATTTGGCTTTAACCTCCACAAATAAACAATTATGGTGCGAATAATATATTTGTCAAGGATGCATATAAGAATTTATTATACTGCTTATTTAAAACCGACGAGTTTGTACAGCTGTTTTTGCCCAGTCATGTGACTGAATCCAGCGGAACTAGCGGAGAGGATCCACAGGCTCAGAGTTTATAGTGACGTCTCAAAGAAAACACCCCAACGACTGTGTTATGATTAACCCATTGTTCCCTTATGTTTACACTGTAATTTACGCTGAGATCTCAAAACTAGAGGAACACCATAATATCAAATAATGTATTATTACGTTTTTCAGTGTATAATTACCTTTATAAAATAAAGTGTTAGGCAGACAAAAAAAGAAAAAGACCAACGACTGTAAAACTTAATATTTATTTATTTTACCAAAAGTTATTTCTATAAATGCCATAGTTTGAAAGATCAATACAAGTCTATGCAAACAATCTTTTATTTATTTAAAAAAAAAAAAAGTAAATAAATCAATATCTGGGGACAAACATTTTAGTGCTCATGATGAATAGAAAGAAAAATCTAATAAAGTTATGTGATTGTTAAATGCATGTGAACTAAGCACTTTTTTTAATTAAAGTGTTTTGAGCGTTGTTTATAACAACATTGCTTTAACATTGCTTTAAAAGACAAGCAGCATTCTACTGTAGGTGTCAACATGTCAAAGTTAACAGGAAACAATTTAAAATGTGAAATGTAAAATTATTTTATTGTGGTATATAATATAAACCAGGAAATTCACTAATAAAAGATGATTATATTTCCAGCAGATGCAAATAACAACAACAACTACAACAATAATAATATATAAATCTCAAATATATAAAATTGTAAAGACTGCGAAATTTAAACATCCCATTCTTTAGTCAAGATAGAAATGTGTTTAAAAATACACCACATTCTTAAAACATCTGTGTCTGGAACTGCAGCACAAGGGGTCACATATATAAAACTTATCTAGGTTATATTTTTGTTATTTATATCTAAATTAATTTCTTTCCTTTCCATGAATTAGTGTATGTGAGTAGAGACACTTTTTGGGCCCTAATCTAAGTGTTACGTTGAACTCCTACATGAGTACGTGTTCAAACAGTGTCTGAAATGTGTTTCATATTTAACTTTTATGAGTTGTTCTATGAGAACAATCTGAAGTCAAATTAATCTCGGTGGAACGGGGTTCATCCTGATGGAGGAGTAAGCACCGATATGCTTGATGAGATTGGGTTCAACGCTGTGTGCCTTCTCACCTGGCCTCGATCTGGCTATCTTGTACAGCACCATGTCTTTTGCATTTCCCTGAGTGCAGACGGCCTGGTCCAGGTATTCAGCGGCTCGAATGGAGGCGTTACCTGGATAGAGCATAGCAGGGGTGCAGCATTCAGTGGCAGGACACACAGCGTACAGCTGAGGCGAAAGTCGTCTGATTTCTAGGAGATAGTGCCTCCCTGCCAGCTCAGCCACGGCCATTACATAGAGAGCCAGAAAGAGAAAATGAGGAGGTGAGAAGGTAAAAGAAAGAGGTGTACAGTGAGATAACAAAAGGAGGAGCATCATAGCCCCAAACAGGCCGAGACCCATCCATTCTAGAATACGATAAGGTTCTGGATTCCAGTATCTCTGCAGACGTTCTGGATGGTAGAGCTTAATGTATAAAGTATTAAGTGCAAATCTCCGTGAGAGTATGTTTTTAACGGATGAGAAAAAACCAGTCAAAGGAAGTGCGTCATCCTCCAGGACAACAACGTTTTTCGGCCTCATCAGGTCCCATCCTTTGCGCAGGCAGAAAACATAATCTCTTTTCTCCTTCTCAAAGATGTTGGCCACGTCTCGGCTCTGCCACCTTTCATCAAGAGAACGTCTAACAACCAAAAACTGTTTCTCCAGAAGCAAAGCATCCACATTTAAAGTGGGACCGCTTTCGACGTCACAGAGCATGACCTCAGCACATGGTTTATCGCCACACGCTTTGAGGAGCGATTTGAGCTGTTGTGCCACCTGTAACAGGTAGTGATAGTCCCTCCCCTCTGCTCTCCTGGCTGTCACTACAGTGACCAGGAGATCCGGTTTCTTGGCAATTGTTTCCAACGGGTCCTTCAGGCTTTTCGTAGAGGCTGCTGCTTCCCAGAAACGCAGGGCCTCCTGGCCTCTGTCGTAGCTTTCTTGTAGTGCTGCATCACTTAGTGAATCAAGATAAACAGTCTTTAAAAAATAATATGAGTAAAGTAGACGATGACAGCATATAGGCAGTATCACTCCAAAGGTTAAAACACACAAAAGCAGCCCTTGAGCTACTGGGCTTGACCAACGAAAGTGTTTGCTTGTACAAGTCCTCCATCGAGGCATCTGTGTTTGTTTAAACTGTGATCACAATTCACTTCTGTGGCAGTTAAAACAGTGCTGAGGTGATGGATATGTGACACAGGTGGAGGGACAGGGGGAACCAGATTTGCGCTGATATGCAGTAAAAGTCGTGTCATATACAAGCTTATGAATTTAGAGAGCCTTCTCAAGATAATTCCATATTATGTATCTGTAAACAAGAGTGATATACAGAGTCATACTCTCATTCTTATTGTAAAAAAAACATTAAATATTACTAAAAACATTCTAGGTCATTAATACATTTCTTTAAATAAAACATTATGACACACACATATATATATACACTGTATATGTATGTATGTATATATATATATATATATATATATATATAATAACAATGTAAAACATTGTAAAAGTTTTCATATAAACGAGACACTCTAAAGACATTTTTTGTGGAATGCCCCTTTCTGTGCAAAAAGCTCGTAGAAAGCATGAAAAACGATATGAATGAGCTTATTGCATAAAGAAAACAAACCCGGAAGAAATGACCCGTTAAGTGAAATAATAATGAATTCAACAAAGCATTATTGTTTTATGAAAACTATTTTAGCATTATGAAAAATAGTTTAGCATTCCTACCAGAATGTGGATGTTGAGCACCTAAAGACTAGAAGACAGCAGCCGAGACTGAACAGCGTGTCAAACATCACGCTTGATGACCTATTTGCCCAAATCTAATCCAAACATCAACAGTTACGGCGTTTCCGTATTACCGTAACACACGGACCAAATGCGCATTTAATTCACAGGGAAGCAATGTTAACCGTTCCTTACCCGGTAGAACACTGAGTGCATCCAGGGAGAGGCACTCATAAAGCTGATTCAGTGATTGAGATCGCATTTAACGAATTTTAGGACGTTTTTGTATCACAGGAGACCGCAATTAAAATATCATCATCAAGAGCTCATAAACCACCGTGATTGGTGCCTCATAGCCAGCGCTAAGTAAAGTAACAGAAACCGCGTGATAACGACATCACGTGATGTAATTACAAGACCAGACACTAGATGGCAGTGTGGGGTTAAAGACGGTCTGCCGTCGATGCGCGGGGCAAAATGAAATGTGCAAAAGAGAGATTTTTGGTAGGTTGGTGGTAGACCAGAAGGTTGGAGGAAGGTAAGCTGTATGCCGTGTAATAAGTAATCAACAGACTATCAAATATAGGCTAAGTTATAAGGTGTTTCTCAGTCTTAAAATGTTTTTATTTGTCTTAACATCACAGTGAATGAGATCAAGCTTTAAAGAAGAAAGAACACAAGCATCTTAACATTAGCATCTAAATAAGCATAAAAAGAATTGAAATCACCTACTCAAAACCTAGAAAACGTTTCAGGGAAAGTTTGACACTTCTTATATGATCTATATCATAATAATTTTTACATACTATACCCTCCTGGGACCCAGTCATTTTGTCCTCTGTAGAGGGCATTATATTTAAGCTAGGGTGACCATACGTGCCATTTTCCCCGGACGCATCCTGGCCAGGACGCGTCCGGGGAAAATGGCACGTATGGTCACCCTAAACATTTAAGCGAATTTCTCTGAGACCGTACTTGTCACAGTTTTAAGTCTGGATGTCCTGTAAAGAGCACATTCAGGGGTTTTAGGCTGATGATACACAAGGCAACTTTTTGAGCAATGTTGCCAGGCAACTTTGGTTAATGTTGCTGTCAATGGGCAATCAGGTGAGACACAGGGCCCACAACCGATCTAAAGTATCCAGATAGAAATTTGTTACCCATTCTCAGTGGGAAAGTACTCAAGCAACATTGCTTAACAAAAGTTGCCGGCAAAATTGCTCAAAAAGTTGCCCTGTGTATCATCAGCTTCAGTGATACCAAATGTTTGAAAGTTTCATCATGACCCCTCCTTCTTCTTGGTCTTTAAAAATGGCTGACATGAATTTAGTGATCAAATTTAACACCCTTATGCAAATATGATCATATATTGTCATGTAAATCGGACTAATTTTCAAATTGTTTGTAGTATATGAATATCTCAGGACAGTGGGTTTTCAAAGCAGAATATGACTTTCTGTTGTGAGACATGCATCAATTACATTCATGTCCACTGATGAGGACACCAGGACATACTTCACTATCAGGCATTTTAGGGTATAATGACTAGAAAAAGAAATTATATAGCTTATTAATATTTCTATGAAAAATAAGATTGTAATGAAAATGTTGCTAAGCTTTTACTCTTATTATTATACTTCTTTTTCATCACATGTTGCCCAAAGAACAGATTAATATGCAAATTAGAGACAATTAATAGATACATCGACTATAATAGCAAAACCCATTTTTGGCCATGTTTACGCACATACTGTGTAAAGTAAAATAGTACATCAAACCATTCTCTAATATCTTTCACACACCATAGTTGACAGTCTATGAAACTAAATCCTGAGTCACGTTCTGACACGCACCATGGTCACTTGTGTTCTGGTTAAACACACTGAAATCTAACCCACCCTTGTAACCAGACTGACTTCTCATCACCTGTACTGTTAGGGAAAATGAAAAAGAACAAATTTTCCATTATGTTTAATTTTGCCTATAGTCTTACAAAATGCCACAAGGAGTATGGTCAAATTAAAAGCGCAAATTAGGAAGTAGATTTTTTTTTAAAAATCTACTATTTTAAATTCGTCTTCTGCTCAGTTTATTTTCTCCATATTTTGCATTTACATACAGTATATTTATCACATATGTTACCTTGAATAGAGAAATCCATTTAGGATTAGAATATAAGATGTTGATGTATAAAGTAGGCTATGTTGTTCTATTATAAGACAATAAAGTAAGTTGTCATGGCCGTTTTAAAGACAACAACCAACAACACTGTCAAAAATTAATGACCATCGGACACTGTAATGATTTGTAAACAAGTGTTGACTTTGACACACAAAGTCCAGCAAGTAAATAAAAGAGCAGCCCTCAGATGGAGTGAGCACACAGGGTGGGTCTTCATGGAGTGCATCAAGATGAACAGGTCTGTCCAGCACTCTGTCAGCCTCTTTAATAAAGCACATCCTCAGCACTTCTGCACATTCATTCTAGCTGTGCAGAGAGATCACTCAGGTGTGCACACATGGCGACCAATACAGGACAAATGGGCTACCTGCCCCGTGGAGGGGCAATATTCTGCACCATACCCGACATCCTCTACCTTCCAGAGCTTGTGAGTTGATTTAAATTAATAGATTTTTATTGATTGACTTTTTTTATTGACTTTATTGATGTTATGTTTCCATTAAAGTCACCTTGAAACATTATGAAACAAAAAAACTTTTATGTAATTTATTTATTGTAAGTTCAAATACAAACATACAGTATTTGTTAATCAATCTAAGTGGTACCTATTTAATTGGTAAAAATTAGTTAAAAAGCATTTAAAAAATGCAATTAAGACCCATAAAATGTTGAAGTGTGTTAATCCAAAGATTATATTGTTAATTCCAGCCTACTTAAAGTGATTTGATTCATAACTTAAGTAAATACATACCGTACTGTATATATATATATATATATATATATATATATAAAAGTA